ACACTCAGACCTCTTCATCCCTTCCTGATCTGCGCGTTGTTAATGGAGACACCGGATTCCCTGTCCTCCCGCCATGACGTCAGATACAAGTTATATCATAGCCAAAAACATGTTCCAGAACTGTCTCATGTTCTGAGGGTGGCATCGACCAAGGCGAGAATTGAGCGCTAATGCATTTCCACTTTATAAAGAAACCCAGAACTGAATAGATCTTTGATAAGTCGCTTTCCATGTCTTGTCGACGCAATTAATCACTAGTAAAGCTAAAATCCGTGCCGGGATGCAGTGTTTCCACACGTATTCTTTTCAATTTGGTACTCTTAATTATCTTAGTATGCCTAATCAAAATAGCTCAGGCTTCGGATGAAAGCAGATTCTATCATCAACTATTACGGATTAGGCCTTATGACCTGTTCTAATTCACAATTATTTCTGAAATTATGAATCAGTTTAAGTGAAAAGCCAGTAGAAATGCTTCTGACTACACAGGACAGCACACCACAGAAAGACGAGTACAAACATATGACTTGAGAAAGATTCAAACCCGCGATTCCAGTATCCAAACGGCAAAGACCAACGGCTTAGACCGCAAAAGGTCGGTTCTATAAATTAAGAAATTTAATAAGCTTTTGCTTCGTATTTAATAGAATAATATGTATTCATTTATGTGGTTTCTACAGAAGTCAGTACATTCAGGACACAATTTAGATGCAAAACTTCATCTGTATTTGATTACAACTGTTAATTACGTACTTGCAGGGATTTCTGTCAGGCCGGCTAACAGCAGAGCTTGAAGAACCTTATTTTTCGCTTGTACCTGCTAGTGACCTGTTAAAAACAAGTATTTAATTAAAGTATTATATTAAATATGGATAGGTCTATTTAAGACAATGCATGACATTTAGGAGATTCCAACTCACTGGTTCTGCTTACTTACGTTTCTGAAATATTTACCAGTATAAGCGATTTTGAACCGAAATCTAACGAAGAGCTTTCAGGGTTCCACAACATGTATAAAGATGGCCATACGAATTATTTTTATGTTCCGTTTGTCTCGTTAAGTTAAAGATGGTATGTCATCTATTTAGGTTACATAACGCCGATGGTTACGTCAATAACCTAGCATAAAATCTCTTCTTAGTGGCTCTCTCTGGTCAGATTCGGACTGCGGACTTACGAAACAAGAAAGTTGACAGTGCACGCCCACATATTCTGTCTACGAATCCAATGTGACATTTGGGAATTCGTCTCCATAATCCCTCAATCCTTCTTCCTTCTGACATTAATTCATGTTTCCGTCACAAAAGGAAAATTGTGATAGATAGAACCCTTTGTATTTATAATACGACGTTGCAGTATTAGCTAGTGGCTAGGATTAACATGACGATGATAGATGTTTGTTCTGAAATTACTGAGCGACGTGTTTTCGGTTACAGATGTTTGTAGATGCGAAAGGAGATGTGTGTTCCATTATTAACAGAAAATGGGGAACGAGGTGGGAAATGGGGGTGCAGATCATGGTCTGTATAAAATAATTATCACAATACCCGTTTGATTTATCTTCTAAATAACTGATATTTCGATCAAAGAAATGTGTAGAATAACTGTGGTATTACTAATGTTTCAAACCTAACAAACAAACAAACAAAGACTTTACAAAAAGTCACTTATGTGGAGAAATAGAGCTACTACTATATTATTCAAGTTGCATAAAGTTGAAACCTTTAAGAGAAGCGTACAATGGTAGCGGCGTCGGCTCAATGTTGCAGTAATTGTATATCATAAATTTCAAGCACGCCAGTGCTCTAATCGTCAAAAGGACTGCAACTCGTCTTCATTAATCTTAATAATTCCAGTAACCATTTCAAGCGCACAGAATACGACCAAATTCCACGCAGATGCACTGCACGATGAATCGCTAGAAAACGACCCGAAATTTTGTCGGTCGATATTTAGTTAACAACGTATCGATAAGCTTTCTTTTAAACGGTCACCCACATATCAGAGTCTGTGACTCATGTTATGAAGTCAGTCTGTTCATATGATCCTTCTTGGAACGTAATATTGTCAATATCTTTGAAATTTTGTGCAGTCGATTCAAGTTGCTATTTGTACATTTAAATAAGTAGAAACAATGATAATATATCCCGCAAGTCAAGGACCATAGGAGAACTCGGTTATTTGGAAAATTACAGAAAAATGGAAATGTTTTTAGTCTTAAATGTTAGAATTTCTTATTATAATTTGATGTTTACACGGTGGTGAGGCTGAAGATGGCTGTCTTCTGGTTTGTGGCGCCAGACTACACGGCGCTACAACCCAGAAGACAGCCATCTTCAGACTTTCTTACCTAGGACGAGCCGTTAGGGCACTGCAATCTCTGCATTATCATTAATAAAATGTGACGGCGATACTGTCAAGTTGACATCACAACGAACGGGGAAGCGGTACTACAGAAAACTGTGAAAACACGTTCCCCTTTTGCTCTCAGGTCGTGACGACATCACTGCAAATTTTATTGTTCATACACTGCAGACAGTGGCCGCCGAACTGTCTCCAGGAGCGAAACTGTTCGTAGAAATCTGGGACTGTCTGTTTTGGAAAATTCCCGTATTCAGAACCGAACCTGAATTAATAATAACAATAATATAATAATAATAATAATACAGCAGCGCACTAACTTTCACGTATCAAGAGTTTAAAGTGACAAATTGTTTTTAACTTTATTAAGGGTGCAGTTAAGACGTTATCGAATATACACCTTCACAGAGTCACAGGTAGTTGTCTTTGCTACTTATTAAGTCATGAAGACGCAAGGGGGTGTGATGGTATCTCGGCACTAGATGGAGGTGAGGTCAGCTTCACGCTCCTGCCGCTTTATTCCCGGGAAAGGGTTCACGATATTAGCTGAATGCATAGAATATATTAATATTTAAATATTTAATATGGGCTTGGCGTGTTATTTAAAAACAACGGCGACGTAAGGGCACGTAAGTTATTTATATTTAAATGTTTTATGTGAATTTCAGTTTAGGTTAGATGGAAAGTCACACGCAAAATTATTTAATTCCTATTCAAGAATATTAACTTTTAAATAAGGAAAGTCAGATAAAATTTCAATTGACAGCAAATAAAGAATGGCGTACTGGGTGAGTCCGCACAGGGCGCTCAAAATTTTCAACAATTCAGTTTGTCGCTCACAATTCGAGCTAAAGTCTGGAACGTAAAATAAAAGTAACTGTAGTAACCGCCACGAAGTCGAATGTTCCGTAGCCACAGCAAAGTCGTAAAGAGTTTCAAAACGCAAATCGATGAGAGTGAAGACAGCTCAGATCTAGCAGCACAGCAAATCTAGCAATGGCATACTGTTGACTCTCAGGCTCGCGGTGAGGGTGAAGTCCTTCTGTGGCCTCGTAACATGAAACTTGGTGACGGCAACTTTTCCTGTGTTGTACAAGAATCCGAAGCTAATGTGACCCTGAGCCATTACCATCCATATAAAATCATGAGAACCGTTTTGAAGGAAATGTGCCTGGATAAAAGTCACTATTATTCATCCGTGCGTTGTTTCCACAAACAGACCACGGCTATGCTCACAGCAAAGTGTCCGAGCTTAACAGGTGGTGGGAGCAAGGATGATATTTGTTATTTTTTACAGGGACGAATGAAAAATGGCTCCTGAGATAATCGTGACGGCACGGCGCTGTGTTTAAAGAAGAAGTGCTGTTCCACTTCAGCGCGTCTAAACGCCACGGAAGTTTTTTTCAACACCGAAAATGATCAACACGTCGATCATAAATGCACAAGTATTACTTTACATCACCAACCTTCTACTTTTCACAAATTAAACTCATCAGTAAATCACGAGACAGACAACGTAGCTAATTTCAGGAAGAATACAACCCTTCACTCAGATGTTTTGAATATTATTACCAAACTACAGCCTTCAGAAGCTGATAGTTGCTTAGCTAATCAAAAACATTTCCACATTTTATGAAACCAGAAATCTCTTTGCCGTTTTCGTAAAACCCCGCCACTGGACTTGTACTGATCCAGTTGAATCCAGTTCAAACCTCACACCTAATTTATCTGAGAGCCATTTTAATACAATCCTCTCTCTCCTGTCTCTTTTAATTCAGGCATTCAAACTAAATTTTTGTCCAATGCATCTCTCATCTCTCTCATCCATGCTGCATGCACTGCCCATTTTATCCTCTTGCATAATCACCGTAATATCTGGTGAAGAGTACGTGCAGATTATGAATCATCTCATCTTGAAGTTTTCTCGTTTCTACTTGAACTTCCTCCGTATTAGGTCCAATCATTACATGCTTCATGACTTCGGACAGCGTTTCATAAGCTGAGGTCGACATGTTACCACTTATATGTGTTTAATCATGCACGAAATTTGGAATTTAAAATGCAAATTGAGCATATCAAATTGTTGATTTCTTTAACAACGCTCTTCAGGTATATACGTTACTGTCTACAGCATAAATTGGCAAGATCAGATTTCAGGTTCTCACGATGACGAATATGAAGAGGCGCCTTCATAGAAGTTGACTAACGTTTCAGAGGCGCTTACTGCCTCCACCAATAACTTATTAGTGCTGTTGCTGAAGCCTCTCGTCCTCAATGCCAGTTAAACCACAAACACTCCACACTACGTCATTACTTATTACGAGGTCGGTGTGGATTTCCAATCTACATACGTTCCCAATTTAACTTGCCCAGGCATCGGTACGTCTCCTACGGCTTAAAAGACGTAACGCGTCTGACACTGATTACATTAAGTTTTCTACGGACGCAGTGACTCAGAGTTGATTTGTAAGGATCATTCGAATCGTCGGAATTGTCATATTTCACCTTGTGGACGAAAAAACAGCTGAATTAAATTCCCAAAGCAAATGTTTTTCTTCTGCGCTTTGTTATTTTGCACGGTAAGTCATTTAGTAAGATAATTATGCAGACCTTTTGTGAAGACAAAATACCTCGACTATTATGAGGTATCAATTCTGATCTTCGACAGCGACCTGATACAGCGACCGGGGTCTTTTGCAGCTAATATCCATTAGTTTCTTAAGATGAATGTCGGGCCAGTCTTTTCATATTGGCTACGACTGTCCCCCATTCATAATTATCTTCACATCAGATTCGACGGTATATGACTTCTAAAGTTCAAAGAGCGTAGTTAAATAACTTCAGAATTAAAAGATCAAAACCTCTATAATTTTTTTTAGGTAAATGTGAAAAACACTCGTCGTCAAGGTTAGGTTAGATTCCTGAGTCCGAATCTGAAGTTCTCAATTTGCGAAAAGACGGAATGTATGGGCAAACGTGTTTGTTGTTAAGGAACATAACTTATAAATTTAAAACTTTTCTTCTGTGGAAAAAACGAAAATAAAATTCTGACGCGGAATGTAAGACACTGTTTGTATTCAAATTGTCCAAATGAATTGGATGATAGAAAGACCGTCGATAAGATAAAAGTCTGGAACCAAGTTTGCAAATAAACCAAAGAATGCGAACAAAGAAAAGCAGACAAAAAAGACAGAAGTTCAAACAAGTTAAAAGAAGCCGAAGTCTGATATTCATTCTTTCCAACTCTTTGTCTGAAATTTCTTTGGCATAAGCAAACATTAGGAAAACTTCATTAAGGTGTTCTCAACTTGCGGACCGCCGGTCTTTTTATGCAGCCCGCGCACAATTCTTGTGCCACTTTGAATTCCGAAAGATACTTACCCAACATAAGAAAACACGCCCTGTTAACCCGTCAAGTCCCAGTGATAACCACATTTAGCACCTGCTTTAACGATAAATGATTCAGA